GGGGCTCTGTCCGGGAGGAGTGGGGCTCTGTGGGGTCAAAAATGTGGTCTGTAGGGCTCTGAGTGGGGAAATGGGGCTCTGAGAGAGGGAGAATGGCAGCCTATGGGGCTGTATGGGGTCAAGAATGTGGTCTGTAGGGCTGTGAGTGGGGAAATGGAGCTCTGAGAGGGGGAGAATGGCAGCCTATGGGGCTGTATGGGGTCAAGAATGTGGTCTGTGGGGCTCTGAGTGGGGAAATGGAGCTCTGAGGAGGGGAGAATGGCAGCCTATGGGGCTCTATGGGGTCAAGAATGTGGTCTGTGGGGCTCTGCGTGGGGAAATGGAGCTCTGAGGAGGGGAGAATGGCAGCCTATGGGGCTCTATGGGGTCAAGAATGTGGTCTGTGAGGCTCTGAGTGGGGAAGAATGGCAGCCTTTTGGGCTCTGTGCAGGGGAAATGGGGCTTTAAGGTGGAGAAATGGGTCCTGCATGGCTCTGAGCTGAGGGTCCCGTGCCGCCCCTCAGCCCCATCGTGCAGCGGATCCGGGAGGACTGCGCTGAGCCCTTCGTGGCCTTCGAGCAGTGCCTGAAGGAGAACCAGGAGTCGGTGCTGAACTGCAGTGAGCACGTCAACGCCTTCCTGCGCTGCGCCGAGAGGGTGAAGCTGCCGGCGTGAGGTGAGAGGTGCAAAAATCCAGCCCCGGATGTGCTGAGAGATGCGGGTTTTCCTGCTGGGGGTTCTTTGTGAGTTGAAGAGCTGGTTTATAAACGGGAGGGGAATTCTGAAAGAAGCGGTAATCTTAAAGATGTTCTTTAATTTAATCATAAAGCTCGAAGGGAGCTTAGAAACAAGAGGAGGGCAACTTTTTTATGTGAGTAGGGAGAGGTAGGATGAGGGAGAAGGGCTTTAAACTCAAAAAGGGGAGATTTAGGGTGGACGCGAGGAGGAAATTCTTTATCCAGAGTGTGGTGAGGCTTACAGCTGTGGTGCCCCATCCCTGGAGGTGCGTGAGGCTGTAGATGGGGCCCTGAGCTGGTGGGGCTGGGGGGGCTTTGAGGTCCTTCCAACCCAACCGTGCTGTGATCCCATCATTCTTTGATCTTTAAGGACCCTTCCAACCCAACCGTTCTGTGGTTGTGTGTTTTTGGGGTCTCTTCCAATCCAACCCAATCAACGTTCTGTGATCTTTAAGGTCTCCTCCAACCTTACCTGTTGTGGGATTCGGTGATTCTGTGCTCTTCCCAGAGAAACGGGAAGCATGGAAATACTGAACCTAAACTCACTGATATCGAAAATCTCTCCTGTGTGTTTTCATGTCTTTTATTTGTCTATTGGTGTTGTTTTCTTCGCAGGGGACCCCCCGGAATTAAAACTCATGGTCAGAAGCAAAAGAAAACTCTTGATACTCTGCATTCTCATCACAGTGCTTGGTTGGGTCGCTGCTCCCCGTCTGAAAAACCCGTGGGTCACTTGGGTAGGAAGCGAAAGCCACCTTTTATTTCTGCAGCTTGTACTGAGGAATTCCTTTTGTCTCTGAGGACAGCGTTTTCCCTTTGTCCCAATAAAAAGTAACCAGCCAACACGCTGCTGAAGACTGAAACCCAGCTCTGGCTTTTTCCACTGTTGACAGGAGCTGCTTTTGGAGCTGAACTGACTCCTTGTTTCCTCGAGCATGGAATTCCCAGCTTGCCCAGTTTGGGAGCCCCGTGGGCTTTGTGCTGCTTTAGAACAGCAGAGGGAGTCTTCCCACAGCAGAACAACTGCAAACTTCAGAGCTCCTCCAACTCTGAGCCGTCAGCAGCGCAATGAAGATCTGCCCCTGGGAGGGTGGGGGGCTGCTGCCCGCGTCCTCGCTTTGGGGGGGGGCACAGAGGCCTGATTTCTGGGCTGTAATGAGTGGAAATAAACCATCACTCTGTAAGGATGTTTTACAGGGAGTGGATGAAGAGATTCTGCCCTCTGCAAACTGCTTTTTCTCGACCCCGCTGCTCCCATTCCAGCATCCGACCACTCTTTCAGAAGAGGGATTTTTTTCCCTAACGTCCAAACTGAGCCTCCCCTGGCGCAGCTTGAGGCCGTGAGTTGTTGTACCTGAAGGGAAAGGTGAGGCGTGGAGCAGGAACTTGGCTCGGATCCATTCCCACTGCCATTCCACCCCTGGGTCGCACAGATCCGCGTTCCAACCCCGGCGTGAGGCCAAGCGGGGTTGGCAGCCTTCACTCAGCTCAATCCTCCAGCCGGGCAGAGTTTAACTCCTTTGGGGAGAGGTGCAGCAGATGGCAGTGGCTTCCAGCTTCCAGCACGGCCCGAATCGTCTCGACGCACTGCAGCACGAGTGGGATTTGAGATGGAGCAGATGAGAGCATCCACGCTCACAGGAAACGCTTTTCCTTTTCACTGAGCAGTGTTTGAAGTGTGAAAGCTAAAACGCGTTCTGCTTTCCAAGTCGGGAGGAAAAGGAGACGGCAGCTTTGCTCCCAAAAGGCATTTTGGGAAGCGCTATTGGAGGAAAAACTTCTTTCCAGTGATTCTTTGGCGATGCGTTTATCCTGAGCAGCGCAGTTGGCGAAGTCTGCGGCCCGAACAGCTTTATTGAGGGCTGCATGGGAGGGGAGGTTTGCTTTGCGTGTTGTTGACACCGCATTGAAACGTCAGCACGGTGGCAGCAAAGCCATTTTTCATTATGGTTGAGGTGCTGTGGGCCCCCTCTGAAGCCTGGTCACGTCTCCTCCAGAGCTGGAGCTGCTCCATTATTTCTTCATCGATGCATTAACCTCTGAACTGCCGGGGTGCCTGGGGATTGTGGAGACGGAGTTCTGCTGCTCTTTTCCCTCTGCGTTTTGGCTGTGACAAGTGGAGGAGGAGGGCAGAGCAGCAAAGCCACATAAAGGGGGTGAGAAACTGCCCCTGAAAGCAGAGGAGGAAGCTGTTATTTCCAAACCCATCCACCACGTCTGTGTTTCTACCTTTGGGAAACGTCCTGAAGGGCAGCACCTGAAGAAGGCAGCGGTTGCTCCGCTGTTTTTTGCCCAGCAGAAGCTGCCATCTGAAAACATGGGACGTGCAGCTCTATTTGTCACTGCGGTTCTGATTCTTGGCTCCCATCCTGCAGCCATCGCTCCGTCCTGTGTTTTATTGCCCCCGCTTTTAATTGTTCTCAGCTCTGATTGTGTTCACGGGTTAAGCAAGGCGGGGGTCGGTTCTGCTTTCCCTTCCCCTCTGAGTGTCCTTGCAAGGAAACTCTGAGCTGTTCCAAGCTTCCCTGCGTGTCCCCCCAAACCAAAAACACCCACCCAGCTGGGGGGCAACGAGGAATAATTAATTAAAGTGTTCTGAGCTCTGTATCTAACAGACACCCGAGGATTCCCTGCCTCATTTTCCCCCTTTTTGGAGCTCAGAACACGAAGTTGAGCACCAGGTTTGTTTTTTGTTTCCCTCCCATGGCTTTGGCTGATGTCACTTTTCTTTCCAAGCTGAACTCTGGAGGTGAATCACACACCGCCCCGGAATGAGGAACTCCCCCGAAAGCCTCTTTAATTTTTCACCCAGAAAATATTCTCGTTTTACACTCTGCTTCTCTTACTGAAAGGAGCCATAAATCAGCACCGTCCCTTTGGTGTTGGCCGTCGACGGGGGAGATTTAGTGCTGCCAGCAGCCCGGGTCTTTGGTGGGCAGCGGCAGAGGGCAGAGAGCCGTGCGGAGCCGCATTCCATTCGCACACACCGTTTGCTTTCTTTGGCTGCTGGCCCGCTGGGCTTCGAGCTGCTGCTGGGCAGATGAAGGGTTTTCCACTCTGGTCTCTCTGTTTTGCTTTCCTTCGCCCTTTCTCCTCCTCTCTGGGCAGGGGGAATTTCCAGCTTGCTGTTGTGAGCCCTGTGTGCTGAGAGCGAGGTTTGCTCCTCTCAAAAGCACTGAGGCAAAGCCAGAAAGCGTGGGTGTTGTCCAGCCTGCTGCCCTCCTGCTCTGTGCTCTGCTGCAGGGTGAGCTCAGCCTTTCCCTGGAGTGATTTCCTCCCCCTGAGCGCGCATTCCTCCCCGCCGCCCATCGGGGCTTTGCAAAAGAGTCAGATCCCAATCGCAAAGCTTCTCCTGCCTCAGAAGCAGTGCTTGCTGTCTTTTATTGCTGCAAGAACGCGTTTCCAGCTGCAAAACACAGCTGGGAGCGATCGCCGAGCCCCGATACCTGGCTGTGCTGCTGGTGCAGTGGGACCCCCTGACACAGAATCACAGGGTTGGAAACGACCTGCAGGATCATCCAGTCCAACCCCCCTCCCATTCCTATCAGTACCACAAGCAATAAACCACATCTTGTAGCTCCTCATCCAGGCGCCTCTTGAACGCCGCCAGGGACGGCAGCTCCACCACCTCCCTGTGCAGCCATTCCAGTGCCTGACCACCCTTTGAGAGAAAAAGTTTCTCCTCATATCCAACTTAAACCTCCTCTGGTACAACTTGTGGCCGTTTCCTCGGCTCCTCTATTTGCCTGGGAGAACAGGCCAGACCCTTTTGCACCACAGCCTCCCTTCAGGAAGTTGTACAATGCAATGAGGTCTCCCCTGAGCTCCTCTTCTCCAGGCTGAACATTCCCAGCTCCTTCAGCCTCTCCTCCTCAGCCCTGTGCTCCAAACCCCTCACCATTTCATTGCTCTCCTTTGAACACGTTCCAGGGCCTCCATGTCTTTCTTGCAGTGAGGGGCCCAAAACTGAACCCAGCACTTGAGGTGCGGCCTCACCAGTGCTGAGTAGAGGAAACCCCAGCGGGACCCCCTTGCAACCCACTGTGTGACAAAAGTGGAAGTGAATCGCCTGTAGCAAAGCGCCCAGCGGCCACGTGGGCAAAATTACACCCAAATCTGCTGCTTCTGCCAAAAGTTTCCCTGTTCCCTCTTAGGAAGAGACCTCGAAGTGATGGCGAAGGGTCTCCAGCCGCGGAGCGAACGCGAAGGGAAGCGAGCGCCCATCCGTGGCTGTCGCGTTCACACGGCTTTATGGAGAGGGGTGAGCTCTGCAAGGGCTGCAGTTGGGTCACACAGATTTCCTTCTGCCCGTTCCCTCCACAGCAGCCTTGGGAAAGCCAAAAAGAAAGAAATAAGAAACAAAATGCAGCGGGATTTCGTCTCCTTTCATCCCCAGCACTGGGGGCTTACGGAGCTCCTCCGTGACCACAGACGACGACCGTGAGCCGTTTTAATTTTTATTTTTTTTTAATCGTTTGAGGGAATACACACTTGTACAATCAGACTGACAACAGCCCCCCGGGGGGAGGCTCAGGAGTAAAACACCACGTACAGAAACATCGGCCGGGTTCTCAGCTGCGCTCACAGCTCTGGAGGTCAGGATTTAAGAAATAAGTCACGGTTTCCTGTTGGGAGTCATCTGCTCATCAGTCCCTCTGTCCAAACAGATGTGGGGAAATCAGTTTTGGAGGAGCTCCTTCCTTCGTCTGGCACGATTCTGGGAAAACCTGACCTTTCCAGCAATATTGGCTCCGTGTCCTTCACAGCTGTAAAGAACCGAATCCCACATTTGGGTCCTGGCTGGGAGAATAAAGAATTCCTGTTTGGTAATAATTCAAACTTCCAATCTCTGTTCTCTTTTTTCTTGCTTGTTTTATGGTTTTTTTTTTGGGGGGGGGGGGTTGTGATTCGCATCGGTGCCCATTGGCTTCTCTCTGCCTCGCTGAGAAGGGCGTTGTGACGGGGGGGGAGAAAATGGATCCCTGCTCCCCACCCGCAGCAGAGACGCGCTTTGCTCTTGGCTGAGCCCTGGCATCGCTGCTGGGTTGCCCTCAAAGCCCAGATGAGATTTTGGGGGGTAAAGGCATCCAGTTTATTTCTCCCATCATGTATTGGAGGGAAGCGAGGTGCTGGGATGCCTGGAAGAGGAGTCAGGGTGGGAAATGATCGGATCGTGGAACTGTGGGATGGTTGGGCGAGAAGGGACCTTAAAGGTCATGGAACCATGGGATGGTTGGGTTGGAAGGGTCCTTAAAGATCACAGAGCCATGGAATGGTTTGGGTTGGAGGGGACCTTAAAGGGTGGAACCATGGGATGGTTGGGTTGGAAGCGTCCTTAAAGGTCACAGAACCATGGGATGGTTGGGTGGGAGGGGATCTTAAAGATAATGGAACCATGAAATAAGTTGGTTTGGAAGGGACCTTAAAGATCATGGAACCATGGGATGGGTTGGGTTGGAAGGGTCCTTAAAGGTCACAGAATCATGGAATGGGTTGGAAGGGTCCTTAAAGGTCATGGAACCATGGGATGGTTGGGTTGGAAGGGTCCTTAAAGATCACAGAGCCATGGAATGGTTTGGGTTGGAGGAGACCTTAAGATCACAGAACGATGG